CATTCATCCATAGTGGCAGAGCAGGCTGAGCAATGGCCGGATCTCCCTCCGCTCTCACCTGTCTTTGGCTCTTAAGAAACGCAAAGTATCATCCAGACATCAAATACTTTGTTTCTGTTCCAGCGTTTGTTCTCACTTCCTGGTGGAACGCGTCTCCAGGGGCCCCCGGCGCAAGCAAACACATCCCCATTTTTAATGAAAGCATTGCCTCCCTCCCATCAGCGGATCTCCAGGGTGATGTGTCTGACGGGAGGGGAGAATTCCGGGTCACGCTTGGCAGGCTGGCTGCAGCCTGGGGCAGTTCAGTGCGCTGCTCTCTGATGGTTGTGAAATTTCAAGGTGCAGCCAACATGCTGCGATATTTAAAGCTGAACTCTGGGATTAGCAAATATGGTCTAAATCCATTCATCCTGTGTATTCTTCTTGAATCTCGGTGAGATCTGTGTATTCCTTCCAGATCTGTGCAGTAATCCAGTGTGAGACTTCCTGTCATAAAGACCACTCACTGCTTCTCTCTCTCTCTCTGTGCAGGGTGACCGGTCTTGTCTCCGCCCCCTCCTGTAGTTTTCTACAGGCAGCCTGTATTGGGGTGGAGCCCTTCTGAGCCCCTCCCACAGCTCTGCTCCCTCTCCTTGTGTAGGGTGACTAGTCTTGTCTCCGCCCCCTCTTGTAGTTTTCTGCAGGCAGCCCGTAGTGGGTGGAGCCTGCTGAGCCCCTCCCACAGCTCTGCTCTCTCTCCTTGTGCAGGGTGACTGGTCTTTTCTCCGCCCCCTCCTGTAGTTTTCTGCAGGCAGCCTGTAGTGGGTGGAGCCTGCTGAGCCCCTCCCACAGCTCTGCTCTCCTTGTGCAGGGTGAATGGTCTTGTCTCTGCCCTTCTCCTGTAGTTTTCTGCAGGCAGCCTGTAGTGGGGGAGCCTGCTGAGCCCCTCCCACAGCTCTGCTCTCCTTGTGCAGGATGGCTGGTCTTGTCTCCGCCCCCCTCCTGTAGTTTTCTGCAGGCAGCCTGTAGTGGGTGGAGCCTGCTGAGCCCCTCCCACAGCTCTGCTCTCCTTGTGCAGGGTGGGTGGTCTTGTCTCCGCCCCCCTCCTGTAGTTTTCTGCAGGCAGCCTGTACTGGGTGGAGTCTGCTGAGCCCCTCCCACAGCTCTGCTCTCCTTGTGCAGGGTGGCTGGTCTTGTCTCCGCCCCTCCTGTAGTTTTCTGCAGGCAGCCTGTTTTGGGTGGAGCCTGCTGAGCCCCTCCCACAGCTCTGCTCTCCTTGTGCAGGGTGACTGGTCTTGTCTCTGCCCCCTCCTGTAGTTTTCTACTGGCAGCCTGTAGTGGGTGGAGCCTGCTGAGCCCCTCCCATAGCTCTGCTCTCTTTCCTTGTGCGGGATGGCTGGTCTTGTCTCCGCCACCCTCCTGTAGTTTTCTGCAGGCAGCCAGTATTGGGTGGAGCCTACTGGGCCCCTCCCACATCTGCCCTCTGTACAGGCTATGTACAGTGCATTGATTATTTTTAAATAGTAATATCTGGGTTTGCAAAGGCATTTGGGCACACAAAGTGGATTTATATACAACTGGTTTATGAAAGATAATTCTTGATGCATTGACCTCATCTTATTGCATACCCCTCAGTTTTCTGAGATGGCAAAGAGGGACACCTTTAACATAAAGTATGTAAGGAAAGGATACCCCCTCCCAAAATAGACACCAGACCCTCATACAAGCATGCAACCTGGCAGGTCAGGAAGGGGGTGTGTAATGAGTTAGCCACCCTCCCTCTTCTGCACCATACCAGTCCATATGCCCTCAACATGGGGGGTGCTTTGGGGGGAATGAGCAAGCACCCCCAACCATACCAGGTCACATGCCCTTTTCACGGAGGGGGGTGAATTTGAGGGGGGGTTGAATACACCCACGCAGGTACAGGGAGAACATGAAAACTCCAGGCAGGTGGTGCCATGGTTGGGATTCAAACCAACGACCCGAGTACTGCCGGGCAGAAGTGCTAACCATTTAGCCCCTTTGCTGCCCAGGACATGACCTCAGGCAAGTAAGAAGAAACAACCTCAAAAAGTATCATTTAACTGAATTTAACAGTTGATGTTTGGAACAGACTTCTAGCAGCGGTATTGAGTGAATTTAAACATGCTTGGACCCAACATAGATCTATACTCAAAAATGGCAAAAACTTCAATGAATAAAATACCCTAAAAATGTAAAAAAAACTAACAAAAAAAAACAGACAAAAATCATACTTGATCTTTCTCTACCATCGCTCTTCTCTGTTACTATGCATATTGATTCTATAAGGTACAAACTACTAGGGCCTAGGGGAATTTCTATGACTACAGCAGACCAGGTAGCTGCTACGGGGCCCAGAAGTGAAGGGGGCCCATTACTCATTTAGGCAGCACTTGAAAAACACATTTGGGAAAAAAATGATTGTTTATAGAACCTGATGTGTTCTGAAAACAATTAGTATTCTTTATTATTTGAGGGAGTCATTTTAGGATGGCCACGAGAGAAACATGGAGCCCCTTGATGGGGCCTTATCACAAAAAATTGTGGCCCGGGATAAAAAGTAAAAAATATTAAGAAGCAAGAGAAAAGATTCCCAGCATTTTCTAGCCTGAGGAGGATGACAAATGTATGAAGGTGAGGTGGAAACCAGACAAAAAGCACGCTCTCACAAGATCAGAGCGAAGATTCCAGGACGTGGCGATGAGATGTTTTGGCGTGACCCATTGTCATCGTCCGGCCGTCTCTTTCCGCTGGAGGAGGAAGCAGTCATCACTTTCATTACTATATAAAAGTCTTGTGGAATTCCGTCTCTGCCTGCCCCTCTTTTGTTTTGTGATCTAGTGAGGATTCTCAGGTTGCCTGTAAACATAATTAAAGTCATCACTTCCAAGATCTGACTAAACACAGAGTTAATTGAAGCTGTCCCGACTTGACCGTGCCGCTGGGTGAGCACATAAAATGGCCTGGCTCCTTTTTTATAGTCACAGGTAGACAATTGTCATTGAAACATTCCTATGTTCCTATTGCAAGATTTTCCTGTTTGGGTGACTTTTAGTCCTGGTAAGGATGGTCACAAGGACAAATAGAGAGGGCGAATCTTCCCAGCAATACAAATCTGGTTTTGACTCTTCCACGCTTTATACAAAAAAATAATTTTGGGATTTAGATACATTTTAATGATAATTTCACCTGAAGCAAAAGGTGTAACAAGGTCAGCAGACTTAGGTCCTACACAGGGGCGGACTGACAACTCATGGGGCCCCCGGGCAATAGGGGATCATGGGGCCCCTGTGTCCCTGCCCAAACTCAAAAAAGCCTATGAAAAAGGTACCAGGTGCATTTCATGAGGCCCCCTATTGACCCCGGGCCCTCGGGCAGTGCCCGAGTTTCTAAATGGTCAGTCCACCCCTGGTCCTACACCTACCCTTTCTTGAGCTGGCATTACTCTAGAACAGGCTTTCTCAAACTTTTCACACCAGGGAAACCACTAAAAAATTGTCCGGGTCTCAGGGAACACCTGCTAAAATAAATTCATCAGCGGTGATTGGGAAAATGCTCCTTACTTGGTTAATGGAAGAATGTCCCCTTAGAGTGGTGGCAGAATGCCACCTTAAAGACAGCTAAAATGATCATTGGTATCATGCTACTGGCTCTGCAGGCACCATCACACAAGAGGTCAACTATGCTGGCACCATCAGATCGGAGCCACAGCTCAGGGAACCCCAACCAACCTCTGGAGGAACATTAGGGTTCCACAGAACTCCAGTTGAAAATAGTTGTTTTAGAAATTCTCAGTAGTCAAGCTCCTCTCCGAAAAGAAGGCCAATGATCAATTTAGGTGGTGGGCCAAATGATTTATGGTTGTATTAGCAGTAAGTAGTTCAGCATTCAATGTACAGCCTGAGACTCTTGGCACTGGAGCCTAAGCTAACCATAGACATGAAATAAAAATAGGAAAGTACGATGCCTAAAATTCCTTCTTAGAACTTTCCATACATTTATGTCACCATCAGGTGTGAACTTTGCTGGCCCCATCAGATGGGAGGTAAATGAGCCACAGTTTAAGGAACGCCAGCAAACCTCTGGAGGAAAATTAGGGTTTCATGGAACTCTGGTTGAGACTGGCTGCTCCAGAAAGCCTCAGTAATCAAGCTCCTCTTCCAAAAAGAAGGCCAATGGTCAATTAGATGGTGGGCTTTTGAAGGCCAGATCCAACTTGAATTGTTTATGGTTGTATTGGCAGTAAGTAGTACAGCATGCAATGCACAGCCTGTGACTAGCACTGGAGCCTAAGCTAACTATAAACGTGGAATGGAAATATGAATTCCGGCTGCTAAAAATTCCTTTTTAGTACCTTTCGTACATTGGAAAATTTGGCTAAGGGTACAAGCCTAGACACTGAGCAGGCACACTTGACTTTGTCTTATAGGCATAATAACAACTGTTTGAAGAATTTAGTTCAAATTAGATATTTTTCAGTCCCCGAGATTAGTGAGACAGTACATTGACGAGGGTTTATGTGAAATGATCACTTCAAGAGTTAGCCCATCCAGAAGTGATATCTTAATTATCAATGGAGCATGATGAGTTGGCTGAGCCCCTGACTTCTTTTATGTCTCAGATACTTGGATACAGCAAGATCGTCCTGCCATAGTTCTTGACTCTGCTCCTGTCCACCTGGGATTTTGGGTGTTCCCACTCATCTTTGTGTGTTCCAACTCCTCTTGCTACATTCTCCATAAAATAAAATCCAACAGAGGTAGTGGGAACTCCTCATAATAGGCACAGCAGATATGCAAATCCAGAAATAGAGTCCTCTAGAGACAGAAGAAACTGTCAAGGAGTTTAACTCTCTGGCATCTACCAAAAACTGAAATATGAAAATTGAGAGTGAATATTGTCCAATGGAGACAAATGCAGTTGTTATTACAGTTATTATTGATAGCAAAATATACATATAAGTATTTAATAATATTCATTTTATCTTTTTTTTGTAGACCATCATCAAGTTGGGTGCCGAGAACTGAGGTCCACCAAGTATATTTCGGATGGTCAGTGCACTAGTTTGAGGCCATTAAAGGAACTGGTTTGTGCTGGAGAGTGCCTTCCTCTTCCAATTTTACCGAACTGGATCGGAGGTGGCTACGGTCTCAAATACTGGAGCCGCAGGAGCACCCAGGAATGGCGTTGTGTCAACGACAAAACGCGGACCCAGCGCATACAGCTGCAGTGTGCTGACGGTACCAGCAGAACCTACAAAGTGACAGTGGTTACTTCCTGCAAGTGCAAAAGATACACCAGGCAGCACAATGAGTCCAGCCACAACTACGAAGGCAACGTCAAACCTATCCACCCCCACCATCACGGCCACCACAACCGGGACAAGAAAAGACCGAGCAAAATCAGCAGGCTCATCTCAAGCTAGGCTTGGGCCACCATAGACTGGACTTCATTGTAAACCCAGGGGACTCTGTCCCACTAGACTGAATTGGATATTTTTCTCCAATGGAACTCTCGGGTCACTCTCTGACCGTTAAAGCTACGTTACTGATATACAGATTTTTATATACCCTAATCTTTTTTTGAAGGACTAAGATTTTATTTTTGAGAATATCCGGGAAATTGGGAAAAGAACTGCCAAAGCTCTATGGCTAAAGCTGACAACTGTGTCAAACGTGCTTCAACCACATTTTAAGAAGTTAAATAGGCTTATTTATCAATGCAAGATAAGAGTGATGTTCTATGGGCAGTGAAACATAGTATCCAATCAGATTTTAGGAGAATGTGAATGGGCAAAGTGGCAGGTTCACTTGAAAGGTCACCCTAATACTTATCTCTTCCATTCTCCCCACCACTCTGTTTGCCTGTTGGAGCCCTAAGTCTAATGGACCCTCTCCCATTCCCTACATGCTCAGGCCTGGCGACTACCAAAGCACAGGGAAGAATGGGGAAGGTCACATGCTCTCCCCATACCTAGAAGTACTGGGTATCTCTGAGGGTATTACAGATGAATGGAGTGTCCGTGGGTGGTGGGCCTGTCATGTTATGTAAACCTGTTATCTTGCCCTGAATGACAAAAACTTTCATTGGTTCAGAAGAAGTCAGAACAACTGAAGACTGCTGATTGGTTACTGTGGTACCTGCATTTTCTAAATTGTACTTTGCCTTATTAAAGGGAACCTGTCACGGCTCACAAGGGAAATACATGCAATCCCATTGCACATCCCCTTTCTGAAAGTGACCTAGGTCATGAAGCAGCGGGGGCTTTCCTTCTCAGATAATAGGAACAGGTACTCCCAACTTCTGAGTCACCCCTTGTCTCTGCCCCCCGACACCTCCGAGCACTGTCCCTTGGTTCCACCCCCTACCCACCTCTCAGTACTGCCCTTTTTATAGAATATAGGACTAAGCATCATTTTTTGGTGCTAAGAAATTTGTATGGAATAAGTTAATGATAACAAGAAAAGCAATAAAATAGATCCCCTGCAGCCAGCAACAATAGACCCCCCAGCAACAATAGATCATCTCATAAATAATAGTTCTGACCAGCAACAAAAGATGCCCTGTGAAAATATACCCCCCCCCCAGCAACTCCAGAAACTATAGACCCCCCACCAGCAACAATAGTTCTCCCAGTAGCCAGCATGAATAAAACCTCCAGTAGCCAGCAACCATAGACCCTTCCACCAACTGTAGATCCCTCCCACCAAGATTGTCCTCCCAAGCAACAAAAGCACCCCCCTACAACAATAGACCCCACAAGCAACAACAGTTCTCCCCAGCAACAACAGATCCCCTCGCAACACAAAATATCCCCAGCGACAATAGATCCCCCAGCTCTTAGCAGCAATAGATCATCCAGCACAGCTCAGCACCCCTTCCCATTAGGTACTTTCAGTGCTGGAGGTGCCGGAACTGTGTTCCCTCCGTTGGAAAAAAAAAAAAAACTCAGTAAAGAAGGAGGATCGGCACGACATTTAGGAAACTAGCATTCCCTTGAGCAAATTGGCACTTATTTCTCATTACTTTTAATAGGGGCATTGTTCATAGATATATTTGGGGATTCATTTAATTTAATTTGTTACGGTGCAAAGTGCAATGATGTGCAGTAATCCAAAGAAGCCCGAGAGCAGCTGTTGGTGTCTAAAGGCAACAGTACACAGACATACACAATATATATATATATATATATGAAATTCAATATTCCTGAATTGATCTTTGGTGAGGGGGACCTGTTAGGCTAAAAGTATGTCAACCGTCATATCCGACATTTTAAAGGTGTCATTTTTGTCATTCTTATCTTTTCTGCTTCACTATTCAATGGACTTTGTGTTCACTGAGAAAAGCCGTATTCACATCCATTATCCAATCACGTATGAGCAACAGCCCCGTTTTTATATATTTTTTTTTTTTTTAATTTCCCTTGCACATGATTGGCTATTTAGAGTGAAAAAAAGCTTGACAGAATTTAGTAAGCAAAATGAACAAACACTGCTGAATAATGAGGATTAAACGTTACAGCGAGTGTTGTACAGCCTGAAGTCTGGAAATGGCAGCATCCATTCAATGTTTCTCACCCAGGTATCCTGTCTTATGAACTACAGGAGGAAGGGACTCTGCATGAATAAAAACAGCAACCATTTTTTATTCTAAAGAAGCCTACCCCTTTTAAGGATGGGGCAAGACTGAATAAATGGCTCTAAGGCCCCTTTCACGAGGGGACTGATGGGGTCCGCCTGTCCCTTTTTCAGGTGGACTCGATCGGTCCATCCATAGACTTCTATGGACTGGCGGGTGTCAACGGACAATAGTTCGCTGCAGTGTGACAACGGCAGTAGTTCGCTGCAGGGGCGGACTGACAACTCATGGGGCCCCCCGGGCAATAGGGGATCATGAGGCCCCTGTGTCCTTGCCCAAACTCAAAAAAGCCTATGAAAAAGGTACCAGGGGCATCTCATGGGGCCTCCTACTGCCCCCGGGCAGTCAGGCAGTGCCCGAGTTTCCAAATGGTCAGTCCGCCCCTGGTTAGCTGACACCCACTGGCTTCCGGTCCAATCCTGTACACCAAAAACAGACAGATGGGGATCCATCCGTCCAGACGTTCCCTATTCGTCCAGACGTTCCCCATCCGTCCAGCAGATCAGATTGGATGACAATCAGATGGAAACGGACAGACGGTCCGTTCGCATCTGACCGTTCCATTGAAATCAGAGGCAGTATCTGTGACCGCTCTGTAGTAGCAGAGCGGACAGAGACCTGTCATCCGCATGCTCAGCAGGGATCAGCAGAGAGATCACGCTGACGGATCCGCCCCGTCTGAAAGGGGCCTTAATGTAATGAAGCACTTTTATAGAAGAGTTGCGTTGTCCCCTTACATTCCCTTTAAAAGACGTTTCAGTTCATTTTTTTTTCCCCCCAATATAAAATGATGACCAGTTATAAAAGAAAATATAATTAAAAATATTTATTTTTCAGAATAATTAGGCACCGTCTCTTGCGGCAGCCTGGAAAATCAAGGCGGCCTGTGGCTCCCGACCCTGGAGTGGTCTGAGAGCGCTCGAATGTGTATTTTCAAAAATGTACAGAACATTATATATGACTTACAGCAATTTTTTTTTATATGTATCAAAGTATTTTCTTACCGCTTGTAATTAGATTGCGTTCCGCCTCTTGTAGATAATGTAAAATAATTATGTAGTATTTGTGGTATATTTTTATTGTGATATTATTATTAGTACAGAACATGTGTTCAGTGTTTATTAAAAATTTATATTGTGCAATCAGAACAACGAATTCATTTCCTAATTTATATGTGTGTGCCCTTATCTTCTGGGCTAACAAGAGATTTAAAGGGAAACCAGAAATATCTAATGTACAGCAAAACCCCTTCATGATGAAGGTCAAGACAAGCCTGAGCCCTTTCGTTACCGGAGTTGTTTTTTGCATTTTTTGCACATTTTTAACAAATCATTTAAGGCCTGAAGGTTACACAAAACCCCCAAACATTATACATTTCTGAAAGCAGACACCCTAGGCTAGGGGTGTCAAACTGGCGGCCCTCCAGCTGTTGCAAAACTACAACTCCCATCATGCCTCTGCCTTTAGGAGTCATGCTCGTAACTGTCAGCCTAAGGCTACGTTCACACTAGCGTTGTGTGCAGGCGGCAGAGAGGCGTTTGGGAAGCGGTTTTACCGCTTCCCAAATGCTTCTGCCAATTCTGCACATTACAGCACATGGTGCTGTTCTAACGGGAGCGTTAGCGTCGCGTTGCGGCAAAACGGACACCTCTGGTTGAGTCAGGAGGCGTTGAAGCCTCCTATTCTAGTCTATGGTGCCGCTCCGCAAATGCCCGGCCGGTGTTTGCGGTGCGGTTGCGACGCAGTTGTGGGGCGTTTGCGGAGCGGTAACACCATTCAAACTGCATTTTAGGTGTTTGTGGGGTGTTTTTAAACACTTGGCAAACGCCTAGCAACCGCCGCTAAACCGTGCATGTGGCGTTTGTGGAGCATTTGCCGAGCGTTAAAAAACGCTCCACAAACGCCGGACCAACACTTGCCAAATGCTATAGGGGCGTTTGGCAAGCGATGGTAAAACAGCCAAGTGTGAACGAGCCCTTACAATGCCTCATGGGACTTGTAGTTTGGCAACAGCTGGAGGGCCGCCAGTTTGACACCTGTGATCTAGGCCTAGAGAATAAAATAGTGGTCCTTACAATTTTTTATGTCATGTGATATTACTGCCAAGGTCTGGGAAAGGCAAAAGTTCAGTAAAAAAAAACACATGAAAGTGAAATTTAGGGCAAACAAACACAATAATTTACCCAAATTAAGGTGCCGAGTAAACAGATACCCAACATGTCAAACCTTAAATCTGTGTGCGCCTGCGAAATGGAAACAAACCTCAGTACCCTATATTTTCTATAGGCGACACTTCAAAAGCCCCCTATAGGTCCTCAGTTTAGTGTTACGGAGGAGGTCTAGTGCTAGAATTACTGATCTCACTCCGGCGGGCGTGGCAATATGTAACTTGCGTATTGCATTTGACAGTTTCACAAGCAGTCAACCCCCTGAAGCGTGCATTTACACTTGTATGTCATATAGTTATTTATTTATTTCAGGTACTTATATATCGCTGTCAATGTACACAGCGCTTTACATATATATTGTACATTCACATCAGTCCCTAACCCTCAAGGGGCGTACAATCTAAGGTCCCTAACTTACATTCATACATACACATACTAGGACCAATTTAGACAGGAGCCAATTCACCTACCAGCATGTCTTTGGAGTGTGGGAGGAAACCAGAGCAAACCCACGCAAGCACAGGGAGAGCATGCAAACTCCATGCAGGAGGCGCCATAGTCAGGAATCAAACCTATGACCCATTTACTGCAAGGCAGACGTGCTAACCACTAAGCCACT